CGTCCCTGATGCCGACACAAAATAGATCCTAATGCAGGTTCTCAAATCACAACAAACTTGCTGTTGGCGGTGAACATCTGGTGCCACGGGTGCCCAAGGTATTGTCATCGAATGTCCCGAGGATTCCAAGGGGCTCTGTTTCCAGCAATCGTCCATGTTCATCAATCATCACATGTGACGATTTCGGCGGGATCAAATGAAGCCTAGTCGACGATGTAGGTTCCACTGGGGATGTAGTTGGCGTAGGAATTGGAGGTGAAGTTGGATGATGAGTTCGGATGACAGGAGGAGGTGACAACTGCATGGAGTTGGCGTAGGAATTGGAGGTGAAGTTGGATGATGAGTTCGGATGACAGGAGGAGGTGACAACTGCATGGATTGTGGAATGTTGGGTGCAATTTGAGTGGCAAGTTGTTGGTTCAACAAGGCGTTTGGTGTTGAAACAAGTTGATCTGAGCTTGAGACTGGGCCTGTTGCTGTAGTTGAGGGATTTGTTGAATATGTGGATCACATCCTCCCAAGCGACCGCCCATGCCAGGTGCAGGTAGACCTGTATTTGCCATCGTGCTCCACATTCAGGTAGCCCATGATCGTGGGTTTGAAGAAAATGAAAAAATAGAGCTGGCCAGGAAGGGTTGAAGCCAGGAGAGAGGAGACATGGTCAGTGGATACAAGGCGAGGAATATAGACAGGGTCAATATATCAATCCTAGCTGGTAGAAGAGAAAGTGAAATCTCAAGCGCTGATTGAACTCGACCACCATGTCATACATTCCCGATGCTAGCACAGAAGGAATCTTGATGTAGATTGTCAAAACAAACTTGTTGTTGGAAATGGACGTCAATGACATCGTCTGTCTCAAAGATGCCACAGGGCTTTGTTCCAGAAATTCAAAGTGTTGAAGTAAGGACAAAGGAGGCATGGTCAGTGGATACAACGCAAGGAGAATAAATAAGGATCAATGAAATGTATCAATAGTGGAGGAAAAGGTGAAAACTCAAGCACTGATCGCACTGATTCATAATGTCGTACGCCCCTGGTGCCGACACAAAATAGATCCTAATGCAGGTTCTCAAATCACAACAAACTTGCTGTTGGCGGTGAACATCTGGTGCCACGGGTGCCCAAGGTATTGTCATCGAATGTCCCGAGGATTCCAAGGGGCTCTGTTTCCAGCAAT